TGTGCGTTCATGGCTGTTTCTGAGTACAGACATGTTATTTAGAAGTTAGCACATTTAAAGATTTATTCCTCTCAGAGGACTGTGAAGTGTGTCATCATGGCCAAACATCCACGGAGAGTGGAGAGACAACGAGGTGCACACAAACTCCCAAAGCCACAGAGCTGAACGGGTAAAATCTGCAACAAGCTGACAGAAGCCATCGGAATCAACAGCGGCAGAAGGAATGAGAGGAGACAAGGAGATGGAAACAGGAGAGAGAGAGAAATGCTGAAAGATCTTTGTGAAGGTTCATATATGGTTTGCTTTGTCCCAGATCTCTGGGAATATATTTTACAGATAAACTGATAAACTCTATAGACAGATGATCTATAGTTATTTCTGTGTCCTACAGTCTTATATAGAAATAAAAATGTCAGATTTCACAGGCATACAAAGCAATGTGCTTCCTTCTTTTAGCCAGAAGAGCAAAAATGCTTCGATACAACAATTTGACCTCATAGGACCTCTTAAAGCGCCTTTAAATTAGATGGTTCTGTAGACTATGTTTGGTTATGTGCCTTACCTAGAGGCACATCTGCATGAGTTGGGGGAGGAAGCTGAAATCAAACCCACTGTTTTTTTTTATTCTAATTCAACAAGTCTTACAAATGAGCCACAGTTACAAGCAAAATTCAACACATTCTGTTCTTAAAATGCAAAGCATCTCGTCTCCTTGGCGGGAATTTGTAAAAAAAAAAAAAAAAAAAAAAAAAGCTCACATTTTGACTTGGCACTCCATGGTGTTGTATGAATCAATCAGTCTCTTAGGACAAACTCTCTAAATGTCAACATGCAGTTTTTCAGTCTTTAGTCATGGACTCCAGCATAGCCATTACAAACAAATTTAAATACTTAAGTTTTCTTTAACAGGAATATTCTTTGTTAGCCAGAACTTCAGATTTGGCTCCAATAGCCACCAGATCTCCTTGTATATGTGGTATCAGGGTCCTCACCTTGCTTCACTGTTGATTGCACCGTGACGGTTATGGGTCAGCTGTCACCTGCAAGGTCAGTATGCTTGTTCCCTACTGTCTCACAGGGTCAACAATATTTAGATATTTATTCTCCTTGGATCCTAATAATTAATCTCCTATTTATCTAAAGTCTCTTTGTTGTTTTGTTTGGTTATTTAATGAATGTTTCTTCTTAACATGAGACTATATTTCTTCCCCACACTCACGGAAATAATACACCCATATTTTGAGATTAAAGAATTCACTGACATGAACCTTGGAAAGAAAGAAGAGGAAAAGAGTGATAAACAGGGGAAGGCAACAGATTGGCCTAGTAGGTGGAAGAGTAGGAACAGCCATTTGATACAAAGTGATTTCTCAATCATTAGCAAGACGTGTAATATATTCAAACCTATTAAATAATGCCAGTTTGACAATATTACTCAGTGACAAAACATTTCTCTTTACTAAAAACCATTGATCTCCCCCTCCAAACAGAACAGTCGTTATCATCCTAAGTCAAAATCTGATTACCTTATTGTAATGTGTAACTGCTTGAAAGTGTTTATTATAGATTTCTTCTCTTAAAATGTAATAAAAAATGGAGCATGACTCTGAAAATCGTACGGCTCCCAGCGGATGTCGTTAAATTTCCCTTCATTTCAAACCCAAAACCCAAAAGGTATGCAATAAACTTAATGGATTTCAAATAAATATAATCCTTAGTATTCATTTTGAATAAGTCTACTTTATTATAACTGATTTCTTAAACCTGATGATTATGTATTTTAAATCAATAAGCTTCACTGTACAAATGAATATGCATCATTTTTTTTTTAATCTATAAACAAAGTACATAGGATTTTGCTATTTAATTAAAATAGCATATTTCCTGAAGTTTGGGAGAAATATTTCTTTGAGTGCATCCATTTGGGATATGCTTGACAAAAAAAAATATCATGTTTTATTATTTTAAGCATGCCTTTTTTTTAAATGTGTGACCAGAAAAAAAAACTCCTGTCAGAGAGGTGGACAATAACACAATGGTCTCTGGTGTAGATATGTACCCGTGGCTATGAGCACTTGACTCTGGCTATGTTGCTATTACTCAGAAATATTTACTTTTTTTTTGAAAGGCCTAAAAAATAAACTAAAAATATTATATTTGAAAATACTTTGTGGATGTACTGCACTTTCAAGCTATACAGGTACCTCATTGAAGTTTGTTAATAACACCTGCAAACAAGCACATAATTATCAGGGGTAAAGATAATTTGGAATATCAAACCTTTAAACTCTAGCAATAAGTTGACATATTTCAAGTAAAAATATATTTTTTTTATTAAATCTAACTTATTAGATTTTTACATAATGCTATCCAGGTGTTAAATTTGTTAATCAGTGGGTTCTGTTTCTTTTTCAAATGTGACCTTTAATTCCCGTCACAATCTGCTGTTGTGCCTCAATAAATGATAAAGCTAAAAAAACAAACACAAAAACAAACAGGTAAAGCAACTTTCTCATTTAAATTCTACAAACAAATAGGTTCATGCTACCAGAGCAAAACGGCTTCACAAACCTGAAGAGACATGCCATAAATTACCAGACAAATAGGGTATTAACATGAACCTGATATATATACTCCAGAACACAGTGTGGAGGGTCTCATCAAGCCGCAGCTGTTTAACACACAAAACTGTGACCTGACAGCACACAAGTCCTTGTCCCAGTTAAAAAAGAACATCTCTTATGCTACACAAAATCCCAAATCCCCTCGGCCCATATTTTTTCAAGTAAAAACATCACGGCCATTGTTCCATTTAGGTTAATGAAAAAAGCCAAAAGCCCTTGGCCCATTTTACAATGTTCAACACAGCCCTAAAGAGTCTGCAACTGTCCCAAGGACCTTAATTCATTATAACTCCCTTTAAGATACGTCTAAGGGAGAGTGCATAATAGGTACACTGATGGATATTGATGCTTTCCTGCTCCAAGTGATCAAAGGTATGGAGAGTAAGAACGGCCATAATCCAAATAATTTACTACATAAGCAATTAGAAACAAGAAAAAAAACAATAGATAATACACAGAATGAATATTTGTAATGAAAAATTGTATCCAAAATGTACTAAAAAACGTCAATAATTCATCAAATATAAAATGTAAATCCAGTGTGACATGTCCAGGCTTTAACCTGCCTTCTGCTTAATGACAGCTGAAGATAGAGACCACCTACCGCTGGAGTCTGCAACGATAAACAAATACAGACAATGTACGGATGAATCTTTCTATATTAAGTCAGATATCTTTTATGACATAACTTGTCAGTGCTTAGTTTAACAATACCTGTTAAAATAATTTACTGAGACTTTCTTCCCGTAAATTCATTAAGGAACTCTTTTTGGGCGAAACTTGTCACCATTAAGAAAATTAATCAACAGTTAACTTGTAGTAGAGGATTACCCAAGCAAATCTATTGGATTTGCTGTCATGTTTGGTTTCAGGTTCCTAACCCAAACGCAGAACACTCAAGAGACTGGGAAAAAGTTCAAAGGTTTATTAAAGAGTTTGTACAATAAACAGGTCAGGGGGTTATCAGATCCAGGACTGGTCACGACTGGGTTCACTGCAGAGGGGGACAGAGGAGTTAGCAGATGTCCAGGTAATTTGCAGGATGTGAAGGCGCAGGTCTGTACCTGTTCTGGAGTTTGAGCAGAGCGGCAGGGGGGGAACCAGGAGGGTCCAGAGGCTGTCGGCAGGCTGAGGGCTTGGTGGAGGCAGAGCTTGGTTTGAGTGCTTGCAGATCACAGATTTTAGTTTCCCTTCCAGATTCTTCAGAGAGCAGGCAGGCAGGTCTTTGACAGGTTTGATCTCCAGGGTTCTTCAGAGATCAGACGGACAGATTTCCAACAGAGAAACTCTTCAGGGTTTCTGGTTTCAGGCAGGTTCAACCTGGGAAGCAGAGAGGACAAAACAGATCAAGTTCGTTTTCAGGGAGTCAGGGATTCAGACAGGCAGGTTGGCTCAGGCTTGCTAACCATAACTGGCAAACACTCTGGTGCTGGAGTGATGTCCTCTGCCTCCTTATATACTGGTCTCCTGATGACCAAAAGCAATCAGCTCCAGCTCCAGGAGACCCAGAACGCCCTCAGGAAGGGATCCTTGGTGCCCTCTGGTGGGCAAAAGTGGACAGACCTCCAGATCCCAACATTTGCACTCTTGACAATTTGAATTATTCAATTGGGCCCTGTAGATTTGGAGCTATGTAAAAAAAATGGTGGACATTTTAATTTGGTATTCAATTACTCACTGGATCATTTAAATTATTGTGAAACAATTCTAATTATCTATTTGATGTAATGATTAACAATTATAAAGGCTGTAATGCATGATTTATAAAGGTATCTGTGTATTCTGCTGCCATGATCTTGGTTTTATGTTTCATGACCTGCTCCAACTCTTGATACCCTGCAATTTTCTTTTTAATTTCCAAAACTTCATTTCTGCCCAGATTAAACTCTGAACTTGGATCCTCCTTTAATCAAATTCAAGCACTTCTGCACAGAAAACATACAGGTAAGGAATTCAAATGGACTCTAAAGCCAAATCAGCTGAAGTCATATCAATAATCTGGGACTCAGCATTGTGCTGGACATGTGCTGAAGAGAAAGGTCATTGCCATCTCCTCTCCTCTTCTGAATGCTTGGAGTATACCCAATCAAATCCAAATGGTTAGCAGCACAGGAAACTCTTTAGTAAATTCTTTATTAAATAGATTATTTAACGATTTTAATTATTCATAAACAGTTTTAATTACTTTTTAAAACGTATTAACAATTTTAAAGGCTTTACAGTATTATATATAAATATATATCTATGTAACTAAGGCTTTCTCTGACTCAGATCGCCCCCCCCCCCCCCCTGCTCTGCAATTCTAGCCCCTCGCCACCAGGGGGAGATCTAGTTTTGCTGCTAACTTACAGCAAGCCGCTGGGCTGGAATGTAGATGCTGTCAGGACTACAGAAGAAGAATTAAGGAAGTGAGAAACCAAAACAATCCAGAGAAGGTTACTCCTTTACTGATGCAAGAAGATTTGGAATATGTAAGCGATGGTTTGGAATGACTATGTTTTATAGATAAAAGTTGATTAAAGAAAAAAAAAATCATGGCATTCATTAGTAATTCCCTTTTTAAAAAGCCTTGTTAATGATGCGTTGTTTTTGATATGTTTTCAGTAAATAGGAAATATAGATATTATATGCATTATGGGCCAGCTCATGTCATCAGAGGGGGAGCTTGCTGAACTGAAGGAGACAGTTGGCTTTGTTATCTATGATGCCATGGTGGAGCAGGGAGCAGTTCCTGACCTCTCAGTGGTTCATCCTTTGCTCCTAGCCAATCAAAACGAGGAATATGTCTTCCAAGAGCATCTGCTAGAGGTAAACACCTTGACAGCATGGTTTAGTTTTATGGATTGTTTTACAAAGGTGCTGAACAATGTATTTAATTCAGAAATACGAGAGCAGTTTACAAATTTTTCTCTTTTTGCTTTCATTTGACCTGCTTATCCAGGTGTTTTTAAGTGTCAGACACATAGAATACACGCTAAATAAAACCTGTCTTAAAAAAAAAACAGCAAATAAGCTGATATATAGGAATTGGAAGATATAAAGAAGTAAAATCATTTGCTTGAAAATTGTTTATCAGGCCAGATTAAAGGCTTTGAGACAGTGAGAGGCATTTTCCACAATTTAGAAAAACAATTATACATTTTATACCTGTGAAGATCACTCTAAGATCCCATCAAAGACTAACCCAGGAGGTCACAAGTGTTACAATTAAATACAGATGAAAGTTTTTTATGATAGGATTATGGCTTATGTGAAATATAACGCCTGAGTTATGTTTCCCAGAAAACGTTATTACCAAATAACAAGGATTTTTAATACCGAAATGGTAGCCTACTGAAAAGGATGTCCATGTACTGCACAGTATGTACCTGGCTATGCTTTACTGTAGGCTACTTTTACATAAATGATCACATCAATGCAGAGAGGCGTGAAGGTTGATTTAATAGCCACAAGTTTTTGTAATTTCCCCTTCTTTTGAATTGGATTACTACATGAGAAATGTTTTCAGTAATCTTCTCATTTATGAAAATGCACCTGGAAGCAGAAGGAAGTAAAAGACAGAGGAGGAACAGTGGGAAAAAAATCTTGAGTGGATGAAATGCTCATTGATCGCCTTAAATCCACTGAGGTGCAGATAGAGATTAATGGCAGGAGTGAGAAGATAGTTTCCTTGAATCAGTTAATAAAGATGGATTGTGCAAAATAGAGCAGAACAAAAAGTGGAAGGAGTTTGATCCCTGCTGGAGATTATGAAGAGGTCACCAATCAATAAGTGGGGGAACCAGGGAGCAATATGATGATGACAAAATGTAGTTTACAGAGTAGTTTTATTTCATTAGGATAAACAACAATAATCATTTCAATGTTCATCAGCATTTCAATGTAGCTCTTGAGTCATTCTAACAGGGTTTTTACAATAGATCTTTATTGCTGCTTCACTTAACCCAGATTCAGAGGGACCTGGGCAAACGGGCGCCAACCTACCTGAGGGATTTGATTGGCCGACTGTCAGCCTTCTCTGATGAGCCACGCCTGGCTGGCCTGGTGGGCTTAGTGGTCACTATGGTGATGGATGTAGCCTACACGTCATCGAACCAGTCGCCGGGGGTTACAGGGAGACCAGCAGGTTCTTCGTCATGTCAGGTGAAACCTCAATTGAAGTGATGAGCGAGGCAAAGAGTGCTCCCTGAATTATTAACGGATTAGATTAGTATTTATCTTCTTAATATAACCTCTTTTTTTCTGTCAGTCTTAATAATTTCCTCATAGGTTGATGTGCCATCATTTATGATCGTTTCTCCTGCTCTGCATGATATTTGAGTTTTATGTCTAATATTTTTTGTTGTGTAACCTTTGCTGCCTCTTTACCAAGACACTAAAATGTGACTTTCTGGCTAAATAATGGTAAAAAAAAAATGGGTAAAGCACTAATGTAGTGTCTTACAAAGACTGCATTTGAGTGAATCAGAATGCAATTAATGAATTATGTATTTTCACATATTAAAAGTAGAATGGTGAACAGATTCAGGCAACATTTAGTGCAATAGTTCTCTATCCTTCGCTCTTTTCCATTTTAGCAGTTGGACCGGATTGCACTGGCACTACTATTGCACGGACACTATTATTGAGAGAAGAAGACTTATTTTAATAGTAGTGATTAGTTTGAGATAAAGCCAAAGGACCCACTGAGACATGAGCAGCTATTTCAAAAGAAACTATATTTTCTCACAGTAACCTGAACTCACAAAGAACTGCTTGCTCTGCAATAAATCTTGGGAAGATGTTGAGGGATCATACATTCAGGCTTTCCTGTCTTCTGAAATATTATTTATTTATTTTATTTTTTTTGCGGTATAAATAGCATAAAAATATTTCAAAGTCAAAGAGGTGCTCCAGTCATTTAGATAAGCACAAATAAGTTGTTTAAATGATGTGTCTTTATTATCAAACTCAGCTGTCAATTTTGTTGAGACTGACCAATTGGAACGCAGGCATGATACATTTTTCACATCGAGAGAAAAATCCTAAATCGAGAGCAAAGATTTTGGTTTTGAATAGAAATCTTGTTTAGACATAAAATATATGTAAAAATATATTTTTTATAGGAAATAACTTTCCAAATATCAATCTATCTTAGTATTTTCATCTCTTTTTATTTATCTTTTGTATTATTTGTAAAGTGACCTTGAGTGTCAAGAAAGGCGCTGCAAAATAAAATGTATTTTTTATTATTATTATTATCTTTTATTTACTCTATGACAATCAGACATCGGTTTTTGCTATCAGTGTGAAAATTTGTTCTCTCCAGTATATTTATTTGCAAAACCTGGACTGGTGCATTTATTTGTTTTTGATAGACAAAACTTTGAATATGGAAATAGTTTTAAGTTTGAGTAAAGCCTAAGTATGTCTGGACATAAGGATGAGTTATGTGATGATGCTTTATGACGGACATAACACGACATTCTAATATACCTCCACATTTTCCGGTGTGCCCGCATTTTTGCATCTACTTGTTTACAAAGCCTAACGATGTTTGACATACGGTCCTTATTATGTCTTGAACTCATTATTTTCCACATATTTGCATTTTCTGCCTTTAGCAGAGAGTCTGGGAGCTTCAGGAGGTTATGGAGGAGTACCTGAAGAGGTGTAAAATCAGCCTAAGCGATAAAAGAAGGTTGATTGAGGACTCAGTCCGGCTTGAGGCCCAGTTAAGCCTGATCCTCACTCAGCTGAAGACATGTTTGCTTGGGGGGGGCTGCGACTCCAGGTATATTAAGAAACTGACTGGTAGAAACGGCACATACTTTTAATACCCACATCACAGCGCCTATAACAGCTTTGACAGCTCTTTTCCTTTCCCCTCCTGCAGATCCCTCCGACACTGGGCCTGTGGAGCTGCATTTCACACCCAAATGTTGGTTCATCTCGCTTGTTTTGAGGATAAACCTGAACCTTTATCTGCAAGGGCAGCACTGGATCAATACAGGGAAGATTTCAAACAGATCAGAGCTGCCTACAGGTGAGTGATAGAGGCTTTGATGAATAAAGGAATGCCTGACAGACCAATTTAAGGAAAGATTGATTACAAAGTAAATATAGGCTTTCTGTTCTACTAAACTGTATTATTTAATGGTATTGGTGAGTATTAGAATAATAAGTATAATTTAGACCCTTTGGGCAGGTTGACAGAATCATTGCTGAGGTATATGAAGGGCTTAAATGTATCATAAAAGTCAGCATTATAAGTAAAATAAGTAAATGTACTATAAATGAATATATTTAACATTAATTTATTTATCTAATGCATGAATCATATATAATCTATAAAAAATTCACAGTTAAATGCCCATTAACCAATTAAAAATACATGCAAAATGATTAATCAAATAATTAAAAATGAGTTATTTAGAGTAAAACATAATTACATGTATAAATAAGTATAGAGTAAAATAATTGTATGTGTATTTAGGGGGTGGGCAGTCTGCTGCAGTGTTATTTTTGGGGTCACAGGCTGGAATATTTTGGAATGTTTAACTTTCAGAAGCAAAACACAGAGCTTCTATGGAAGGATTATATATATATATATATATATATATATATATATATATATATATATATATATATATATATATATATATATATATATATATATATATAGCATGCAGTTAATGGAAGCTAAAGCAAGTCAGGGGACAGATTTTCAATACTATTCAATATTCAGCTTAGCTGTGTCAAAAAAGTGCAGCGCCAACATTTCAGCTCGCAGTTAGCCAGTAATGATATTCAGGCAGACTGTCAATAACTGCAGTTCTCACATAATCAACACTGTTTAAGAAAATAGAGGAAACAAATTAAATGGTTTAATGTAATGTTTTAAAATGCTTCTTAAAACTGCACTGATTTGATACTAATGTGGATTAATTGCTAAGAATTTTTGTTGTTTGTTTTTTTGTTTCCATCATCATAATTTTCCCTTCCACTCAGTCACTCCTTTATCTCCTTCTTGCAGGTGTTATAAGTCTACTACAGTCTGCATTTTGAAATGCAGAGGTTTCGTAGGAGATTCTGACCCGTCCCAAGATGTGCCAGAGGAGGGTGCTATGACAGGTCTCACTGTGACTGACAGAGAGTCGGGAAAGAGCGTGACCATCCCCCTGTCTGTCATGGAGGCAGAGATAGGTACACTCTGTAGATTTATACTGCCATGTTATTAGATGTGTCGATTTTTCTGAGATAAACTGTATTTAACAGGTCGAAGGAAGTCTTCCCAAGTTAACCTTGACCTCATCACCTCAGAATACTACTCTGAGGCATACCTGGACCACCTTTTCTCTGATAGCGGACCTGTGGCAGAGCTGGAGAACTACTTTATAGATGCTAGTGAGAGACTAGCGACACACCAAACTGATCTGCACAGTAAAAAGACAGGGGAGAGAAAAGCAGTACATGCAAAAGAAGATGGGAATCTTTTATGCAATTCAGAAAGAATATCTTCTGGAGTGGGCGGAGCAGAAATGAAAACGAAAAATGAAAAGCCAACAGAAAGCAGTGAACAAGACGTAAGTTTGAAACTGAGTATTGTTGAAACAGAGCCAGAGCAAAGCCTCATTCACACAAGACAGGATTCAGCAAATGGAAAAAGCTGAAGTGGTCGGCCCTTTACTGAAGGAAACTGATAAGTCGCACTCAAGCAGTTGAAAATATGACCTCTATAGCTTGTAATTCACTCAGAAATATGATTTTTATTGATTTGTTAGCAGAACAGCGAACCTGAGCGCCAACCTCTGGGGCTGCAAAAATCAATTGGTATGTGCTGGAAAATACAGTTTCTTAAACAACTAGAGGCTGGTGGGAAATGTTTTTTTTGCTAATGGTTTGAAATGTCTTTAGTTTCCTATTGAAACCCAACAGTAAGTTCTCTTTTTTTACATCAGGGTTTCAGAAGATGTTCTCTGTTCCTCTGCCTCATTGATTCTCTCTTCTTACTAAGATCCTCTACAGGTTTGATGTGAAACCAGTTCGTCAGCCAATCAAGTGCAGTTATACCAGAGACATTAAAGCAATAATCCCTGCTAGAAATCATTGGACTTTTGGAAACTTGCATTCTGTGCCTCTTCTGCTAGAAACAGATGTTGATTTCTGAATGAAATGCATTATTTAAGGTCTATTTTCTCCTTAACCCAGGTGAGTGTCTGGGAGGAATGAAAGAACTGTAGATTATTTGACATTAACAACAGTCCTAGGCTCTCTCTGAGTCAATTTCCCTCAAACCCAGGATGGGCTCTTCTTCATAATACTTTTACTTCCACTTAACTTTGCATTGAAATGCTCAAAAATACTCTTCAGTGGATATCTAGATAAGTTAAATATTGCAGGCTCCCCCATAATTGCTGATACCTAAATTAAAAAGATAAAGATATAATTTTTTTGTTGATTTTTGAAAATGTTGTACTATTGTGAGGAGGGTCCTTTATCCACCCATCTTACCATTAAAACTGAATAAAATTAGAGCTGAACTGTGTAAATGTATAAGTTATAATATTTATGTTGGAAAAAATGGGTAATATTGGAGTAATATTTTATTTAATTTGCTTTTCTGCAATAAAATAAACATAATCCATTGGATATATGAAACTAAATGTGCTCCGGAGTTCTTCCTTTAAGTATGTAAGTAGTTGAATGAACAGTTTTCCCTCTCACAGTCTTTCTAGAATGTCTTTAAAGTAGGATTTTTGAGGCGATTTGGTGAGAAGTTGAAAAGACAAACAAATACAGATTTCCATTCCACCAGAGGAGAACATCTTTTAAAGGTTCCTTCCAGCACACATCAAATCTTAATTTATTACCTATTATGTGGATGTTTTACTTCTGAATATGCATAAAGAAATGCAGGAGGTCTCACTGCTACTTCACTTTTTTTCGAAACAAGTATTAGATTAAAACAGTTCAGGCTTTGAAAAACAAAAGTGTTTCACCAAATCGAACAAACGGTTGTAATTCTGCATAAAAAAAGGTAAACTCTTATTGGAATAAAAATGGAAAAGTTTGAAAAAAAAGGGAAACATAAATAAAAACATCTTTGTTTCTCTTTACTTTTAACAGGCTAAATCTGTGTCTGATCAGTGTTGATACATAGAAGACACTTCATGTAATTCTAGCATCTTAACTGAAAACTGAAAATGTCAGCAGTATTCTACTCAGGCTTTCCATCCAAAACCAATTTCATTGCAAAACGCAATTATAAAAAAAACTCACCCTGAAATATATATAGATATATCTACAGGGGTTGGACAATGGAACTAAAACACCTCTCATTTTAGTGTGGGAGGTTTCATGGCTAAATTGGATCAGCCTGGGGACCAATCTTCATTAATTGCACATTGTACCAATAAGAGCAGAGTGTGAAGGTCCAATTAGCAGGGTAAGAGCAAAGTTTTGCTTAAAATATTGCAATGCACACAACATTATGGATGACATACCAGAGTTCAAAAAATGACAAATTGTTGGTGCACGTCTTGCTGGCGCATCTGTGACCAAGACAGCAAGTCTGTGGGATGTACAGTATCAAGAGCCACGGTATCCAGAGTAATGTCAGCATGCTACCAAGAAGGACGAACCACATCCAACAGGATTAACTGAGGATGCAAGAGGAAGCTGTCTGAAAGGGATGTTCGGGTGCTAACCCGGATTGTATCCAAAAAAAAAAAACACGGCAAGCAGATATATAAAAAAAAATATATATAATAATATATATATATATATACATGTGGAGAAATGTATTTGTTACATCAGCTCAAATAGTCAAAGTACAAGAACGTGCCAAAGGAAGAAAAAGGTGCATGGGATATATACAGTATATATAGTGCGTCCACATGTTCTAGATCATTTCTCCAACATCTCCACCATCCTCTAAATTATCTAAATGATCTCAGCCCTTTTTTCCAACTGAAGCTGGTTCTTATCTTGCAGGAAATGCTGGCATGTTGCGTTTGAGTTTTAATTGCATCCTAATGTAAGTGATGAAGTACATTCAATAGAGCATCAAGAATGAGGGTTATTTCCTTTGATGCGCACTGATGTTGCAAACTGCAAGTGACAAGAGAACCCCCCTCCTGCTGTCACATCTTGGTTTTATCTTTTATATATTTAGCATGAATTGACAAAGCTCTTTAAACAGTCTATGACTACACTACAGTATCTTAGTCAGCTTATTAATTGCTGAAACCATCAGAAAGGAGAATTCCAACAAATAAGGCCACTCCAATCCTCAGGGGCAGACAGAGTTTTGACATTGCACACCTTTATAGGAGCATAGTGTGAGCTTTTTGATGATGCTTGCCCCTCTGCCGACAACTTGAAATGACACCATTGTCATGCACGGGCATGGGGGGGAAAAAAGCCCTTCAGTCTCCTGCTGTGACTACACAAGTTTTAGAGACGTAATGTCATCTGAGGAAAGTAAGCTGGTAACTTATTTTTTAAAGGAGCGTCTTACCTCTTAGGCAAAAAGAGGGCCGACTGTGGCTCCAAAGGCAGATCTCCTCCATTCCAACATGTTTTCTTTTTGCATTGCAGGTCTGTTTTAGCTTCCCATCCAAATGTTCAACATATGTAGACAATGTTGAGTTGGCAGATTCTCCGCTCATTTTGTTTTACATCTCTGTAGTAAAAATCTCGCTGTATTATTAGGCTTATGGAAGGTGGCTTTATGCTATCCAACATGGTGGCATAAAGAGACAGCGTTCAAATGAGGGCACATCCTCTATGTGAAGAGAGTTTACTCGATATATCAGTCTTAGGGGAGTGGTGGCCTCATGGTTAGGGCATTGCGCTTCCAGAGGTTCTGAGTTCAAAACCCCACTCCCACGGACTGCCACTCTGTTTCCCTGAGCAAGACCCTTAACCCCCACACTGCCCCCGGGTGCTGAAAAAAGGCAGCCCAATGCTCCCAAAAGGGATGGGTTAAATGCAGAGAGGGAATATCGTTGCACTGTACTTGTAACAATGTAATAATAATAAAGTTCAATACTCTTTTCTACCACTGTCAGGATGAAGAGAGACATAACTTTAGCTTTAACTTTCATATATTATTTGATTTATCATTTGATGAGAGCACAATTCACAACCGCTGCCATTATTAATACATCCTATGTGTTGGGTGGCACAGCGTTGGAAGTCATCTGTCCCTCCCCCAAGTGTCAAGCCCATAATGTGTTAATGGCTGCGGAGACTCAACCTTTTGCCGAGGTGAACAAGGGCCACCAGCTCGTCACACCCACGCACACGGCCAAAGAATCTGACTCATTTTCTCATGAATGGCCAATTGAGCCTGTAGAGGCAACTGTGGAATATAGAGGAAAATGTATTTAACGCGTCGGATGATTGTAATGGCATGTATGTTTAAAAACAAAACCATACTTTTAAACGTGTGCAGTGCACCTTTCAAATAGCAAGCTTGTTGGTTAATTGCAGCAGAAGTTTTTGTTGCACATGCAAGAATTCCTAAAGAACGGCACAAATGTGCAACACATCAATCCTACGCCACTAAAATGCATTTAGATACACAAGAGTGTGAGTGGGCGTAACATCTTCTCTAAACCGCTCACCCTGAGCGAAGCCTCTCATGTACTTTTTGACATCTTGTTCACTTTGCTTTCATTCTATATAACACTATACTGAGCTTTGTGTTACTAACACTGAAATATAAGAGTCATTGACATCTAGCAGTCTGAAAAAAAGGCCCACAGAGCCATTTCTAAAGCTTTGAAATTAAAGTGAAAAGAAAAATATTCAACAAATGAATAAAACATGAAAGAGGTGAACCTTACCCAGAATAACAGGGCTTTAGTTAAATTGGCTGTATTTATGCCAAAATCACACTTTATTTATTTATCTGTGTTCAATCAAGTTTGTTCAATGAAGTTTTTTTTTAACATTTTACTTTATTCAAGTGAAATGTAACTTCAAAAAAAGTCACACGTAAGGACTGCTGCTCCCATTGGACAGACATGGTGAGGAGCACAGTCCATGAAATGGAGGAAACTAGTATGGAGGTTCTTTGTTCTACTCTTCTGTTCTGCATATTTGTGCCGTTACTGTTGCAGCTAAATAATTGTGTTTAGAGAAGCTGATTCAACACGTTTTCTGATGTTTTATTCCAGATTTTGGATTAGCATTGGAGAATGTGTTCTACAAAACGGTTGAGACCCACAGCATTCTGGCGGCAACGTTGCTAAGCAACAGATGATGGATAAAGGATGATTTAAGTACTACATTTATTGCTACAGTGGCTTGTGGAGTAAACAGAAACATATGTTTGTTTGTTTTTTTTTATAGCTTGGTCAGATTAAAACCATTTCTTTTGGTTTTAATTTAAGTAGAGATAATCTCAAAAAGTGGGTCTTGGTCTGTTTGTTTGGTCTGGTCCAGGGGTGAATGATGTATTAACACCAGCTCGAAATGTACTAACCTAAAACCAGCCATTTAAAAATATGAAGAGGAGGAGTGGAAGTAGTTGGGAGATAATGGCGGGCCCCTAGAGCCGTGACTGAAATGTGGATACTGTATATCTCATGTTTACATCCTCTGCTGCCAGGTTGTTTTAAGAGTTACACTATATTGCCAAAAGTATTTGCTCACCCATCCAAATTATTGGAATCAGGTGTTCCAATCACTTCCATGGCCACAGGTGTATAAATTCAAGCACCTAGGCATGCAGACTGTTTTTACAAACATTTGTGAAAGAATGGGTCGCTCTCAGGAGCTCAGTGAATTCCAGCGTGGAACTGTGATAGGATGCCACCTGTGCAACAAATCCAGTCGTGAAATTTCCTCGCTCCTA